GGAATGAAGGAAAGGGAGGGAAGGAAGGAGGGGAGGGAGGGAGGAAAGAATGAAGGAGGGGATGGAGGAAGGAATGAAGGGAGAAAGGAAGTGAGGATTGAAGGAAGGGGAGGGAGGGGAGGAAGGAAGGAAGGAATGAATGATTGAAGGATGAGGAGGAAGGGAATTAAAAAAATGAAGGGAGGGGTTAGAGAAAGGAATAAAGGTAAGGAAGAAAAGGGAGGGAGGGAATGCAGGAAGGAAAGAAAATGGATGGAGGAAGGAATGAAGGAAGGGGAGGGAGGGAGGGAAGAAAAAGGATGGAGGAAATGGATGAAGGAAGAAAAAGGAAAAGGAAAGAATGAAGGAAGGGGATGGAGAAGAAAGAAGAGGGAGGGAGGGAATGAATGGGGGAAGGAAGGAATGACGGAGGGTGAGGGAAAGGGGAAAGGGAGGGAAGGAGGAAGGAAAGCATGAAGGGAGGGGATGGAGGGAGGAAGAAGAAGAGGGAGGGAATGGATGGAGGAAGGAAGGAATGACGGAGGGTGAGGGGAGGAGGAAGGAAGGAGAGAAGGAAGAAAATGGGAGGGAAGGAATGGATGGAGGAAGGAATGAAGGATGGGAAGAAGGAATGAAGGAAATGAAAGGAGGGATGGGAGGAAAGAGTGAAAGGAAGGGAGGGAGGAAAGAATGAAGGGAGGGGATGGAGGAAGGAAGAAAAGGGAGAGAGGGAATGGAGGAAGGAATGGATGGGAGAGAGAGGGGGAGAGGGAAAGAGAGAGAAGAGGGGGAGAGAGAGAGAGCACTGACCTGATACATGCAGAAGCATCACAGAGCTGCCGGCTGATCTGGACAGGGGAGGCAGAGCAGATCCTCTCTCCTCTGCTCTGCCATGGAGGATAGGGGGAGGGGCTGGACACTGTCAGAGAAGGTGAAGAATCATAGACCTGCGAGGGGGGGAGGTAGATGAGGAGCACAGAGGGGGGGCCCATGAGGGAAATCAGATCCAGAGTCAGGGATGATCGGTGCCTTGTTGAAATCTATGCAGGGAGATCGGTGCTGTCACTCTCCCTCCCCTGCACCAATCACCTCCGACTTTGTTCCTGATACATATCATCCATGGGGGCGGCTGGGATGTGTGCGGTGAATACCCGCGCCCATGGATGATATGCCTCTCACCTTCCCACTGCCCACCGGCTCCTTCTCCAGCATAGTGTCCGGACCCGTCACCCGACTCAATCTGCTACCACGTGAAGTGACAGGTGAGCTACTTCTAGATCGGGATCTGAGTCTGCCTCCTCCTTCGCTCCCCACACTGTCACTAGACAGTGATCCTCTCATGGGCCCCCTACTGACCCTGGGCCCTCGGGCAATGCTCGAATGGTTAGTATGCCCCTGTTCACAGCAAATACCTCACATGTGGGCGGCACTTTGAAGCATTTTTTTAATTTTTTTTAATTTTTACACTGTCCTTTTAATTTTTATTTAATCACTTTTATTCCTATTACAAGAAATATAAACATCCCTTGTAATAGGAATAAGGCATAACATCTCTGTTGGATACATCTGGGATCGCTGCCGGATTGGATCCCAGGCTCCCCGATCGCACGGGAGAAATCGGATAGGCAACCCCCCCCCCCCCCCCCCCCGCTGCCTTTAAAAGCTATCAAGCATCTAATCAGCTACTTGGAAGGTTTTCATATTACAGGGAATTGCTAAAAAGAAAATGATGTCTGGATGATGCCTGTAGCTGCAGGCATCTTCCAGATAATTCTACTTTAAGTCTAGGATATCATAAGATGTCGTACAGGCAGGAAGTAAGTCTGATTTTTTTTTTTTTTTCCTGGGTGGAGAACCACTCTCCAGCAATCTCTACTGTTTGCAGTCTGAGAGTGGACAGGTGGATTCCCTAAGCCAGGGGTCTCCAAACTATCACCCTCCAGCTCTTGAAGTACTACAAGTCCCATCATGCCTCTGGGAGTCTTGCCTGTGGCTGTCAGTCTTGCAAGGCCTCATGGGACTTGCAGTTTCTCAAGAACTGGAGAGCCATAGTTTGGAGATCCCTAAGCCATCACGGGCTGGACCAGGGAGAATGGTCCCTCCATTTTGACATCTTCAGTGTCCTGTGTTAGAAATGGAAGACTGCCGATGTGGACATCCTGACTTCCAGGTTCAGGACCAAAGATCCTCTAGCACTGGCATGAGAAGCCCTGGTAATTTCCAGTACCGGCTAATATATGGCTTTCCTCTTCGATTGCTCTGAAAAATATTGGAAGAGAGAAAAAAAATGGTGATTCTCATTTCACCAAACTGGCACAGAAGAACCTATTACACAGATATACTTGAACTACTGGGAGGCAAATGCTGGTCTCTTGCAAACAGGCTAGACCTGTCTTTAGGCCCCTGTTCTGTTTTGCATCACAGTCACTGGCTTTAATAATGTAGCCGTGGAAACCCAGGTCTTGAAGGATGGGTATCTCTGACTCTCCCAACCTACTCTGGAAATCATATTTAGTCTGGTGTGAACACAGGTTTTTAACCTCACATTCTAGCATTCCTACACTTGGGACCATTCTATTCCAAAAATCTCTGGCTACATTTTCTCTTAATAGAACCTTTGTTCAAGATGTCTTAGGAATCAAGCCCCCATTACAGCACCCTATTCTACTTTGGTATCTCAGTTTGTTTCTTTTAGGGAACTCTCCTTGAGTGATCTCTCCTGAAAAGTGGCCTTCTTGGTGGCTATCATATCGATGAGACGTGTTTTTGAGTTAGTGGCTCTCTCATACGAAGAGCCTTTCTTGATTCTTCCCAAGTGTTCTTGCATCAAACACCCTCCTTTATACCCAAGGTGGTCTCAGTCCTCCACCTTAATGAGGACATTGTCCATCCTTCTTTGTGTTCTTCTCCAAAGTATCCCATTTCACTCCAGACAATTGCAACACAACCTTCTAGCAGCATGGAACAAACAGACTGTGTGATTGGATGATCCAGTGCGTCTGACCCCTGGGGCCAGAGATGAAGTTTGGGAAAAACCCTTTTCTCCTCAATCTTGGAAAGTTCCCCTCTCAGTGTTTGGGATGTGGTTGTTGAAGGAAACACACCTTCCCATCAACATGAATTATCAAGGAGGCACCAGGAGCTGCGCCTCACAAAGTGAAGCTGACTTGATCTTTCCACTGTTTTCATATCAGGTGTAAAAAATTGGATCTGGGACCTCCATGTGGAGGTCTTTCAAACCCTTTGTCACAGGAGGGAGATTCCAGATGTGGATCTCCTAGCATCCGATTTCAAACAGCAAACCGGACAAGTTTGTTGCCAGGTCCATGATCCTTTAGCATTCATAGTAGATGCTGTGGTGACTTCCATGTAACCAATTTAGCCTTATTTTATGCTTTTCCTGCCCCTCCAGGTTCTCCTTAGCCTACTTTGCAGGATCTTGATGGACGTTATACCAGTGATTCTCATTGCACCAAATTGGCCTGGAAGAATCTGGTACTCAGGCATACTCAGACTACCTCAGTCCTTTTTTTCTTTTTTTTTTGGGGTTCTACAAAAATCACCCTTTAAACCCATTAGGGATATTTACTTGTCAGATCTTTCACTCAAGGTGACCTTTCTGTTTGCTACCTCATCTTCAAGGAAAGCCTCTGACTTAGCAGCCTTATCCTGTAATTAGCTTTTAGTTGTTGCTTGGGGACAAAGTTGTTTTGAGACCTAAGGCTTCCTTTCTCCTCGGTGGTATCTGACTTCCACCGTAACCAGGATAGTGTCCTTCGTTTCATATGTCCTGCTCTGAAGCATCCTAACGACATTTTTCCTACACAGTATGAATGTTGTTTGTGCTGTGAGCATTTGCCTGTAGGCTACTGCTTCCTTTTGGAAATTAGATTCCATTTTTGTGCCACCTGAGGGCTCACACAAGTGTCTTCTTGCATCTCGTACCTCCATTACAAGGTGGATTACACAAATTGTCCTCAAAGCCTATCGTCTGAAAGATCGGGCACCTCCCTTTTATGTCAGGACACATTTTCTACCAGATCAGTTAGTGATGCATAGGGTTTTCAGCACCAGGCATGTTTTTCCCAGATTTTGCAAGGCTGCTACCTTGTGGAGGCAGGGGGGTGGGTTGCTGGGGAAGGCCACTGCCTGGGTTTTCTGCTTACATCATAAACACATTACCATTTTTCCATTAAATTAGAAATGTGTGTGTATCTTGCAAAAACCTTTGGAAATATACCGCTTAAAAGAGCGGTGCTCAGCCATTCATAGAAAGTGAAGTATTCTATCACTGAATACAAAGCTTCCGCTGGCTGGCTGAGTCAGAGAGGTAGACTGATGATGTCATAACCTCTTACTCTTCCAATCAGGGAAACTTTGTATTTATTGATAGAATACGTCGCTTTCTATGAATGGCTGAGTGCCACTTAGACACTATTGTGTTCCAGGTATGGGACAGGAAAGTCTCGTCTTGCACCCGGAACACAGTGCTGTATACTGTATATAGCCTCAGCTACATAAAGTTTATACAGCACATCCAGTGGCCTCACATTAGTGAGGGACATAGTTTGTTTGGAGCAGCTTGGTCCAAACAAACTATGTAAAGTGTAACAAAAGCTGGAGATCAGCTTTAATATCAGTTTTGTGTTTATATACACTTTTAAATGGTGAATGATGCGATGCCCACATAATTCACCTGGATGTTAGAATTCTAGCTGAGAACGTGCTTGTTGCATTAGTGTTTGTAGAGATATCCAGTATACATTTCTAGCTCTTCCTCCACATTGTAGCTAATAATTTCATAGCTGTGCCACAGACTTTGAGATGGAATGCTCAGACAGATTGACTGGATGTGGATTCACCTGATATTAAGGGAAAGATGAGTGCTTGTGAGTGTACTTTTTATAAGATTCATGAACTCACATTGTACATAAATCATGGTCCTGGCCAGCCTTTGTGGCAGAAAATAGAGTTTGTGATGACAGTTTTAAAATGCTCAATAAAATGTGTTGGTTTTGCAGGATACAGCTGGGAGATGGCTAGAGAAATGGCAGAGATATGTAATACTTTGAGCCAACAAGTGACTTTCCCAGTGAGGGCGGCACTAGTGAGACAGTCCTGGCCTGTGCTGCAGTGGCTGTTGCAGACCTCAGACAGGTAATCCTATACAGATTATTTCTTTTATATAGGTTGTGAATTGCGTATTATGAACTCATAATAACTGAAATAACTGATTTAAGCATATGGATGACTATATATAAGGCCCCTTTCACACAGGGCAGAATCTGCTTTGTTCATCAGGGTATCTGTCCGCTGATCCTCTGCTGAGCAGGCAGATGACAGGTCCGTCTCCAGTCAGTTTATGTAGAGCAGACAGACAGAGCTGATCTGCCTATGTGGAGGAGAAAAGATCCCTTTCTAATTGTTTTTAGCGGATTGGAGGTTCACTATGAATTTTTCCTCTTTGTCCAAACATAGACTAGGGGCAAGGTCAAAGCCTATTTGCATTAATTAATTGCAGTAGTGAACCATCAGGTCTCCAGACTACTCTGCTATCTGGCAGTGTTGTGTAAATCTCAGGAATGGATAGACAAATATGCAAATCCTTTGGCAAGTAAAACAGCTCCTTATATGTATTTATCAGTGTATTTAACTGTTTCCCATACAGTTCAAAGGTGAAATTCCAGGAAGCTTGAAAATAATCCCAGTTAATTGCTCGTTTAGTCTTGGGGAGAGTAAAAGTGCTTTTACTTCCCAGATCCTTCACTCGCCTGGCAGGTGGTTCTACCCCACGCTCCGAAGGTAGACTGTCCCTCGGTGTCATCACATCCAATGCAGGGCTATAGACTCTTCAATGGTCTTGATGACAAAAAGACCTTGGACTGCTGGAGCATGGGGAAAAAGACGCTGTGGGAACCAGTCAAGTAGTGCAGAGGAGTGGAGGATCAGGTAAGTAAAATTAAAAATGGCAAGTCCCCTAAATCTAAACAAGCAATTAACCCCTGCAGTGTTGAGGCATCCCCACAGCTAGGGATGATTTTCAAGTTTAAAATGCAGACAGTAAGCAGGGATATATGAAAGTAGACACTGTGAAGTTGATTTACTAAAGGCAAATAGGCTGTTTATTTTGCAAGGGAATTTTTATTGCTTATTGAAAGTGGTGAAAATTAATTTTGTAAGGAATACCCAATCATGTGGAAAGAAAAAAAACAAAACTATATTTTTGCTTGCACATGATTGGACGATGGAAGTCCGTAGAGGAGGAATTCCTTTCAAGTTGAAAATTCCTTTGCAAAGTGAGCAGTTTATTTGCCTTTAGTAAATTAAGCCCTATATGTGCTGGTCAATGTCCTACCCATAATTCAGCCTCAATTACATATTAGTTTGTAACTTAAAAATCCAGAAAGCTTTTCATGAAGAAGGAGATGATATGAAAAGAAAATTTACTCATATACCCAGTATATAATATAAATGTTAGTTTAACAGGTGGTGACGATACCTTAGTGTTCAGCTATCCTAATTCTTATGGGTCTGCTAGAACAACCAGCATACTAAACATAACTCTTGGTGCATGTAATCACATATACCACGTTTCTGGTGTTATGCCTTTGACAACAGAAGACACGGCCAGCTATAAGGCTCCATTCACATTAGCGCATCTCCAAAGTCGTGCGATTTCCAGTGCGACTTTGATCCGACTTGTCGTGCGACTTTGATCTGACTCATTGGACTAAAGTTGCATCAAAAGTTGTACCAAGTAGTGCAGGAACTACTTTCAAGTCGCTGCAACTTGGAGTCGCACAGATTTGAATGCTACTCATTGGGAAACCTGGGGCGCGACTTGTCATGCGATTTTTGGACCCCAAAGCTGAATGACAAGTCGCACAAGTGTGAATGGACTCTTAATGTTTAGGTGTGGTCATGTCTTTATTGCTTCTGAGTTTTGTTAGACTTTTACTGATAAACATTATTGAACATGAAACGTTAATGTGAAAAAGAGAGCTAAGACCTGAAATGTTAAAAGATTAAATCTCTTTATCCTCTTCCTCAAATGTATGATAGTTTGGCTGCTTTGTGTCACTGAGCCAATTCATTCTTTACTTGGGTCGGAAACCCTAACTGTTTAGCAAAATCACTAATCTGTGCAATATTGGTGCTTACTGCATTCTAGATTGAGACCCATTGAACAGTAGGTATTTTAGAAGCAAGTTATAACACTGTTCACTTGTCAATTCAGCTTCAGGACAGAGACTGATAATCAATAACAATGGCTTGTTGCAGGTACAGCTTGACTGTCTGGGCTGGCAAAGACGACATCTACTCAGTGGAGGATCTGTTATACATCCGAGAACACTCTAGGGAGCACCAGATATTTTATGATTTATTTGAGCCTCACAAGAGTCAATTCAGAGATACCGTGGATCAGAAATTTGAAAAGCAACTCTCTTAAAATGTGATAAAATCAAACTGGTATCTCTGCATCTAGTGGCTGCTTCATATTGGTGCAGGGACCTTGTGGTTTTGATGGCAATGCTAGTACATTTATTGCCTTTAAACTTTTAGCACTGGCACGGTTCTTGAAGAGCTCAACATAGTGTTAGGGTTTGGCTAAGGTAAAAGTTAGGGTTTTAGATAACATATTGGCTAAAATTATGACTGAAGGTATATGCCAGGGCAAAATAAAGCAGAAAAACCCAAAAAACTATTCAGTACTTCAATACATGCATTAGCCTCATTTAAAAAATTTCTGCAAGTTCAAAAAAAATTGTCAATCCACCTGAAATCCATTTTGGGGGGAGTGAAGTGTAACGGGTAGTTTTACGAGTCAGAGTACCAAGATCAGGGACCAGAGTGTAAAGGAACAATTTTATCTTTTTAACACTTGGTTTTTGGCACTGTAACACCTGCACACAAAGCTATCTGACACCAGGGTCTCTGTTATGGTATTTATTTTATATCTGTTGCTTACTCTACAGTTTTTAGGAACATCATCATTCACACCTAGTCCACAGCCCTAAAGGTAGAATACTGGAATCTCAATGGTGATGTGGTAGGAAGGCCAGGAATGAGATGCAGGATCAGAAATTGGCTCAGGTCAAAGGCAGAGCATGCTGTTTAAGCAAAGCAGCATGTAGAGGGGTCTGTCTTCAAGGTCTGTCTTCCCTGTAGGGAAGGATAGAGTCAGTAGAGTCACAAGACAATCCAGGTAGTACAGATCAGCAGGAAATGTATCACTTGACAAAGATAGCTAAGAAAAGACACAATTACAAAATGCACGAAACTACAATTCCTAGTTGTACCCGTTATTTGCAAAGTGAGCTTGACGCTGTGCTGTGAGCCTTGATCCAATCTTTCCGTTTGATTAAATACTATAAAACTGGGGTTGTTATAAAAAAAAGATATATTTTTAGGTCTGGGGAAAATCTATGATGTATTGATTTATTACTTGTCTATTAAATATGTTCTTATCCAAACAGATCTTGTATTGTCTTTTCATAAAGAGTAGCTAAACAATGTGCAGCCATAATGCTGAATATATTTATTGGTAAGGAGTCCCTAATGTGTATTACTTTTTTTTTTTAATTAAATCAGAAAAACAGTGCCCAAATCAAGTTAGTACTCTATTCATCTATTTATTGACCTGAAGGCAGGCTGGCTGTTCTTAACCTTCCATATGCCGGAGGGTTTTCCTCTCATGAAAATGAGTTGATCTTTTATTCCAACTTTGCAAGTAAAAGGGGGACACTAAGCTGATTGTGCAGCAGTGAAAATAGGGTGTGGATTAGGTGTATATGGGTGGAACCTTCCCTCCCATGCACACTATATATTTTGAAAACTGGATCGGTTTGTTATAGAATGTGACTGCTGCTGTGTTGTAGCATGCATTTACTAGTGACGGACTACAGCTGTGTCATAAAAGACCAAGTGACTTCTGCTATGTAATGGAAGACAGTGGCTGTCATCAAATATGCAGTAGCCATTACTTTGCAAATGGAGACCCTTGGACGATTGCTGCTTTAATCTCTATGAAATATTACTAGGCATGTGTTGCCAGCAGAGATCAAGAAGTGCTTTATGGGACATAAACCAGGCCACAGTTTAGGGAAGGCCACAGATGTCAGAGAGAGCATCAAAATTTGTAATGCATACTGTAGTGGCTCAGTATGAAGTTTACTGCACTGTTTGAAAGTCCCAGTTTGAAATGCCAGTAGTTTAAATAAACGTTTGACGCATGTCACTGTGTTATCTATGCAGCATTATGGCAGTATCCAGCAAGAGAAAGTGTTATAGATGACATTGAAGTTCCACTTCAAGGTAATTTCATTGATGGAATTGACAGGAATCTTAATTAACAATACACAGCATTTATAAAGTATTTAATAAGTATTTAAGCCTAATAACTATTTAACTGTTTAAATTCATTTTACACTCAGTACCCCATGATGATAAAGTAAAAATAGAAGTTTGGAAATGTTTGCAAATGTATGAAAAAGGAAAAACTGAAATATCACATTGGCATAAGTATTCAGACCCTTTGCAACAACACTTGAAATTTAGCTCAGGTGCCTCACATTTCTCTTGATCGTTGCTGAGATGTTTCTACACCTTTTATTGGAGACTGCCTGTGGGAAATTAAATTGATTGGACATGATTTGGAAAAGCACACACCTCTCTATAAAAGGCCTCACAGCTGACAATGCATACTGTATCAGAGCAAAAGGCATGAGGTCAAAATAACTGCCTGTAGAGCTCAGAGACAGAATTATTGCAAGGTACAGATCTAGGGAAGGCTACAAAAAAATCCTGCTGCACTGAAGGTTCCCAAGGCCTCCATAACTCTCAAGTGGAAGAAGTTTGGCACAACCAGGACTCTTGCAAGAGCTGGTCGCCCTGCCAAACTGAGCAATTGGGGGAGAAGGGCCTTAGTAAGAGTTGACCAAGAACCCAATGGTCACTCTGAATACTTTATGAATGCACTGTATATGACACCATGTTGTCAGATAACATAAAATCCTCTTTTGTACACATATACACAAAAAGGTGAATTTCATGAATACAGTCCTTCTGTTATAAAAGAATGACACATATTTTTCTATTCAAAGATCTATGTGGCCACACATCCTGTTTACTTCACATAATGAGAAAAAGTTCAGTTAATTTTCTAGTGCTTCTGTCTCCGATGAATCACATACCTAACGAAAACTGAAAGCCCGCATTTCAAATCTATTGAGTTATTAAATCAAGCTACATTAACTTCAATTTGTTATATTCAAATGAAAGTCATGGAAATAAGATATTTAAAAAAAGGAAAGGGTTACTTGGTGTTACTTTGTTCTAGGTCTCGATAATGCTAATTCACAGCTCAGATTGGTAAAAGCTTGCACTTCAGTTTTTTTTTTTTTTCCCCAAGTTCAAGCCTGCAAAATTTATAGTATAAGGCCCCTTTCACACAAGCGCTCCGTATGTCCATTTTCATGTTCGTTTACTGATGAAAAACGGACCCCCATGTATTTTTATGGACTTGCGGGTGTAAACGGATGAACATCTTTTTACATCCGTTAATGTTCACATCCGTTAACATCCGTTTTTTCGATGTCTGCGGACCATGGCTTTTGCTGTAGGATGCAACTAAGAGAATGTCAGGAAAGACCTACTAGAACAGCTGAACTTTATTTGGGGTTAATCAGAGGCACTTTAAATGTTGGCAGGTGTGTAATGACTCCTATTTAACATGATTTTGAATGTGATTGCTTAATTCTGAACACAGCTATATCCCCAGTTATAAGAGGGTGTGCACACGTATGCAACCACATTATTTTAGTTTGTTTACTTCCCCCCCTAAAAGGTTTAATTTGTTTTTGAATTGAGTTGTACAGTTTACAGGTCACATTATAAGGGGAAAAAGTTCTGAAATTATTTATCTTCGTCTCATTTTTTACGTCACAGAATCCTGACTTTTAACAGGGGTGTGTAGACTTTTTATATCCACTGTGTATGTATGTATGTATGTATGTTGTGTGTGTGTATGTATATGTATATATGTTTTTTTTTGTATGTATGTGTATGTATGTATGTGTATGTATATACATACATACACAGTGGGGCAAAAAAGTATTTAGTCAGCCACCAATTGTGCAAGTTCTCCCACTTAAAAAGATGAGAGAGGCCTGTAATTGGCATCATACATAGGTAGACCGCAACTATGAGAGACAAAATGAGAAAAAAAAATCCAGACAATCACATTGGTGGAAAATAAGTATTTGGTCAATATCAAAAGTTCATCTTAATACTTTGTTATATATTTTTTGTTGGCAATGACAGAGGTCAAACGTTTCCTGTAAGTCTTCACAAGGTTGGCACACACTGTTGCTGGTATGTTGGCCCATTCCTCCATGCAGATCTCCTCTAGAGCAGTGATGTTTTGGGGCTGTCGCTGGGCAACACGGACTTTCAACTCCCTCCAAAGGTTTTCTATGGGGTTGAGATCTGGAGACTGGCTAGGCCACTCCAGGACCTTGAAATGCTTCTTACGAAGCCATTCCTTCATTGCCCGGGCGGTATGTTTGGGATCATTGTCATGTTGGAAGACCCAGCCACGTTTCATCTTCAATGCCCTTGCTGATGGAAGGAGGTTTGCACTCAAAATCTCACGATACATGGCCCCATTCATTCTGTCCTGTACATGGATCAGTCATCCTGGTCCCTTTGCGGAGAAACAGCCCCAAAGCATGATGTTGCCACCCCCATCCTTCACAGTAGGTATGGTATTCTTTGGATGCAACTCAGCATTCTCTCTCCTCCAAACACGACGAGTTGTGTTTCTACCAAACAGTTCTATTTTGGTTTCATCTGGCCATATGACATTCTCCCAATCCTCTTCTGGATCATTCAAATGCTCTCTAGCAAACTTCAGACAGGCCCGGACATGTACTGGCTTAAGCAGGGGAACACACCTGGCACTGCAGGATCTGAGTTTCTGGCGGCATAGTGTGTTAATGATGGTAGCCTTTGTTACATTGGTCCCAGCTCTCTGCAGGTCATTCACTAGGTCCCCCCCGTGTTGTCCTGGGATTTTTGCTCACCGTTCTTGTGATCATTTTGACCCCATGGGGTGAGATCTTGCGTGGAGCCCCAGATCGAGGGAGATTATCAGTGGTCTTGTATGTCTTCCATTTTCTAATTATTGCTCCCACAGTTGATTTGTTCACACCAAGCTGCTTGTCTATTGCAGATTCAGTCTTCCCAGCCTGGTGCAGGTCTACAATTTTCTTTCTGGTGTCCTTCGACAGCTCTTTGGTCTTCACCATAGTGGAGTTTGGAGTGTGACTGTTTGAGGTTGTGGACAGGTGTCTTTTATACTGATAACAAGTTCAAATAGGTGCCATTGATACAGGTAATGAGTGCAGGACAGAGGAGCCTCTTAAAGTATAAGGTACAGGTCTGTGAAAGCCAGAAATCTTGCTTGTTTGTAGGTGACCAAATACTTACTTTCCACCATAATTTGCAAATAAATTCTTTCCAAATCAGCCAATGTGATTGTCTGGATTTTTTTTTCTCATTTTGTCTCTCATAGTTGAGGTCTACCTATGATGCCAATTACAGGCCTCTCTCATCTTTTTAAGTGGGAGAACTTGCACAATTGGTGGCTGACTAAATACTTTTTTGCCCCACTGTATATACACACACTGCTCAAAAAAAATTAAAGAAAAACTTTGAAAAACACATCAGATATCTCAATGGGAAAATTATCATGTTGGATATCTATACTGATATAGACTGGGTAATGTGTTACGACCGTAAGGATGCCCCACCGTTTGATGAAAATGAAAATTATCAACCTACAGAGGACTGAATTCAAAGACACCCTGAAAATCAAAGTGAAAAAATGATGCAGCAGGCTAGTCCATTTTGCTGAAATTTCATTGCAGCAACTCAAAATGGTGCTCAGTAGTTTGTATGGGCCCCCCCCATGTGCTTGTATGCATGCCTGACAATGTCTGGGGCATGCTCCTAATGAGACAATGGATGGTGTCCTGGGGTATTTTCTCCCAGAGCTCCTGAGCAGTCTGAAGTGCAAGCTGGCGGTGTCGAATGGACCGAAACATGATATCCCCAGAGGCGTTCTATTGGATTTAGGTGAGGCATGCATGGGGGCCAATAACCTCTCTGACTGTGTGGCTTGGGGTTAATTTTCAGTACCAAAAGCGGTAACCCCGAGCCACACTCGGGATTACACTGTAGTGTAACTTACCTTGTTCCTGCGATCCTCTGATGTCCTCCCATTGTGTCCTCCGGCCGATGCTGGCATCCATCTTCCGGATTATCTTCCTGCGAGCGCCGCGATGCAGGGGGCCCGAACCAGTGGGAGATTCAAAAAAGTAAACAAAACATGACATGCACACAATACATAGTTATATACTTAATCTGGCTGAAAAAAGACAAAAGTCCATCCAGTTCAACCATTAAAAAAAGAAATAGTTATAATCCTATACCCACAGTTGATCCAGAGGAAGGCAAAAAAACCCCAGCAAAGCATGATCCAATTAGCTCCTGCAGGGAAAACAAATTACTTCCTGATCCCCCCAGAGGCAATTGGATATTCCCTGGATCAACTTTACCTATAAATGTTAGTATCCAGTTAGGATTACATTACTGTATCAGTTTTGTCCCTAGTGCTTTGTCCAATGCTCTGCCTGCACTTTTACTGTTCTTTCTGCCTGGAAACTTGAGAACGTCCATGGCATCCAAAAAAAGTCCTTTTTAGGTCAAAAACGGTTTTAGACCAGCTAGAAAAAAGCAATAATGAATTAGAGTCACTTGCAGAATTGAGTGATAGTGGGTCGTGGGGAAATTTGTCATCAGACACTGAAAGTGCCGACAGCGGCAATTCTGTGACTGAGCTCAGTCATGTGCGAACTTGGTGCTCTATTGACTGTGGTACGGATCAGGCAGTGCCTGATTGTGACGTCGGACTTTGTGCAGTCCCGTGTTTTTCAAAATTTTTCATGCCCGGGATGTTTACTAAACCAGTATGGAGTGTCTAGTAATATTGCACCCTCGTTTGGACAAATTTCAGTGTTTTTTGTTTGATTACATTATTGAATTAAATGTATTATTATATTAATATTTTTTATAATTTATTATGTTTATAATTTATGATTTCGTGTTTTAAACTTTATCATACCCGAGATGTTTACCAGACTCTTGTTTGGAAAGATTTAAGTGAGTTATTCCTGAGAATTACAGGCCTACAAAATAACACAACAAATTTCCATGCAAAACAATGTACCGCTTTGACATTCAAAAATATTGAAATAATCAGACCACCAGAGAGTTTAAATGGTATCAATTCCTTCATCCTCCAGGAACTGCCTGCATACTCTCGCCACATGAGGTCAAGTATTGTCATGCACCAGGAGGAACCCAGGACCCAGCTGACAATGGGTCCAAGGATTTCATCCCGATACCTAATGGCAGTCAGGGTGCCATTGTCTAGGCTGAATTGGTCTGTGCATCCCTCCATGGATATGCCTCCCCAAACCACCACTGACCCACAACCAAAATAGTTATGCTGAACGATGTCACAGGCAGTATAATGTTCTCCATAGCTTCTCCAGACCCTTTCACGTCTGTCACATGTGCTCAGGGTGAACCTGCTCTCATCTGTGAAAAGCACAGGGCGCCAGTGGTGGACCTGCCAATTCTGGTGTAAAATGGCAAATGCCAATCGAGCTCTTTGGTGCTGGGCAGTGAGCACAGGGCCCACTAGAGGACGTTGGGCCCTCAGGCCACCCTCATGAAGTCTGTTTCTGATTGGTCAGAGACATTCACACCAGTGGCCTGCTGGAGGTCATTTTGTAGGGCTCTGGCAGTGCTCATCCTGTTCCTCCTTGCACAAAAGGAGCAGATACCGGCCTGCCTGTCTACTGGATTCTCCTCCATGCTCTTGAGACTGTGCTGAGAGACTCAGCAAACCTTCTGGCAATGGCTCATATTGATGTGCCATCCTGGAGGCGTTGGACTGCATGTGCAACTCTCTGTAGGGTCCAGGTATCGCCTCATGCTACCAGTAGTGACACTGACCCTAACCAAATGCAAAACTAGTGAAAAACAGTCAGGAAAGTAGGGAAAAAAATGTTGGTGGTATCCACCTGTAAAACCATTCCTATTTTGGGGGTCGTCTCATTGTTGCCTATCTAGTGCACCTGTTGTTAATTTCATTAACACCAAAGCAGCTGAAACTGATTAACAACCCCCTTTGCTACCTAACTGACCAGATCAATATCCCAGGAGTTTAATTGACTTGATGCTATACTCTAATTAAAAAGTATTCCTTTAATTTTTTTGAGCAGTGTGTGTATGATTGATATATATATGCATACACACAATTGTGCTCAAAAGTTTGCACACCCTGGCAGAAATCGGCACATTTTGGCATTTATATTTAAAATATTACTGATCATGCCAAAAAACTGTCCTTTATTTCAGAATAGTTGTTTGGCTCCTTTTTAAACCTAATGATAACAGAAATCACCCAAATGGCCCGCATCAAAAGTTTACATACCCTGAAATGTTTGGCCTTGGTACAGACACACACACACACACAAGGTGACACACACAGGTTAGAATGGCAATTAAAGTTTAATTTCCCACATCTGTGGCTTTTTAAATTGCAATTAGTGCTTGTGTATAAATAGTCGATGAGTTTGTTAGCTCTCACATGGATGCACTAAGCAGACTAGACACTGAGCCATGGGGGGCAGAAAAGACCTGTGTAACAAGGTAATGGAACTTTATAAAGATAAGAGAGGATAGAAAAAGATATCCAAAGCCTTGAATTTGGCAGTCAGTACTGTTCAATCACTTATTAGGAAGTGGAAAATTTAGGTATCTTTTGACACCAAGCCAAGGTCAGGTAGACCAAGAAAGAATGCAGCCACAACTGCCAGAAGAATTGTTCAGGAAAAGGATGGTGTGGTTGTTTCATAAAGCACAGTATGATGATACTTGAACAAAAATGAGCTGCATTGCCGAGTTGCCTAAAAGAAGCTTTTACTGTTACAATGCCACAAAAAGCCCAATTTTAATATGCCTGACAACACCTTGACACGCCTCACAGCTTTAATCTGGAGTGATGAGACCAAAATAGAACTTTATCATCATAACCATTAGCACTATGTTTGGAGAGGGGTCAACAAGGTCTATAGTGACAAGACTACCATACCCATTGTGAAGCGCAGTGGTGGCTTACTGATGTTTTGGAGTGTCTGAGCTCTAAAGGCATGGTGAACCTTGTGAAAATTGATGGCAAGATGAATGCAGCATGTTAGCAGAAAATACTGGCAGACAATTTGCATTCTGCTGCACCAAAGCTGCGCATGGGAAGCTCTTGGACTTTCCAGCACAATGACCCCAAGCACAAGACCAAGTTGACCCTCCCGTGGTTACAGCAGATAAAGCTGAAGGTTCTGGAATGTGCAGTCTAATGATCTTAATATCGTCAAGCCACTCTGGGGAGGTCTCAAACATCTCTATTGGACGACTGTGCTGTAGCTGTCTTTCGGCTAAGTGCTGTCAGCAAGTGGTTAAAATTGGTACATACTGTATATTACCAATTCCCCATGGTATATGCAAACTTTTGAGCATAACTTTAGATATATAAACACTTTATTGCCAAACTTATTGTGACACCCCTCCAAATCATTGGATTCGGGTGTTTCATTCACCCCATGGCCACAGGTGTATACACCTAGGCATTCAAGCGTGGTACCATGATAGGTTGCCACCTGTGCAATAATTCCATCCGTGAAATTTCCTTGCTACTAAATATTCCATGGTCATCTGTTAGTGGTAATGTAACAAAGTGGAAGCAACTGGGAACAATAGCAACTCGGCCACAAATTTGTAGGCCTTATAAAATGACAGAGTGGGGTCAGCGTATGCTGAAGCACACAGTGCACAGAAGTCGCCAACTGTCTGCAGAGTCAATAGCTAAAGACCTCCAAACTTTGTGTGGCCTTCAGTTTAGCACAACAGTGTGTAGAGAGAGCTTATGTATATATTTTGCATATATCTGTTGTACCACATCCTGTGTACCCTATGCCTTTGGGTGTTAAAGAGGTTCTCTGCATAAAGGAATCTCACAATCTAAATGTGTAGACATCAGGGTGATCTTATTTTTATTGTTTTATATCAACCCTGAAGTTTATATTCTACCAGAGAGCCAAACCGAATAAATAAAAGAAAAAAAAAGAGAAAACATGGGTGATGAGCTGATTAGTTGTAACATAAAGATTTATATGATAAATACATGGTTTGTCAACTGGGGTCCGGCTAGAGGTCCCCAGGTTTTGACCACCTCCACCACTGCAATGGATTCTTATCTGTCCAACAGTGGCTTCTGTAGCAGTGGATTCAGAGGGAGCTAAACCCTAAGATGTTATTATAACCTTGCCCACCACCTCCATTACTATAGAACCCTCCAAATGTGGCAGCCATTCTTAATCCAACTTCCAAACTTATTCTTTATTTCTTTTACTTTCAAAACACCCTCTTCTGTAAGTAAAATAAAACCGCTTCTATCAGGCAAACCATGACCATGGGAAAATATGCAAGGAGCCAGGAAGTCTCATGCATCTCTGCACATTTGGTATCATTGTTTAGGGCTGTTTGACCATAAGAGGTCAAATACAGTATATCTGGTAAGTGATCTGGAATCAGCAGTGTACATAATGGAGGTTGTGAAGGTCTAGCACTTTATATCACTAAGAGTGGATTTTTTTGTATATATTTGGTCCTTTATCTGGAATACATGAATATCGTTTATGGGCTTATGATTATTGTGGTGTTGTTTTATATGAGATTGCACTGTATTTATTTATGTATATGAATGAGGTACCGCAGTGGCTAAATGGTTAGCACTTCCGCCTCGCAGTACTAGGGTCATTGGTTTGAATCCCAACCACGGCAACACCTGCCTGGAGTTTTTGCATGTTCTCCCTGTGCCTGCGTGGGTTTCCCCCGGGTACTCCAGTTTCCTCCCACACTCTAAAGACATATTTATAGATTAATTGGGTCCTGTCTAAATTGGCCCTAGTATGTGTATGTATGAATGTGAGTTAGGGACCTTAGATTGTACACCCCATGAGGGTTAGGGACTGATGTGAATGTACTATATAAATGTAAAGCGCTGCATAAATTTACAGCGCTATATAAGTACCTGAAATAAACAAAAACTAATTTGCACTATGTGTTTTGGTTATCTTATCTAATTGTTTTTGTACACATCTTGAAGTTTATATATATTTTAACACTTTTGAATATTAAAGAGGACCTTCAGCCTGTTTTAAAAAAAATAAATAAAAGTCAGCAGCTACAAGGATCCAGCACTGTGCTCACCTGGGCCATTTCTTTGCCGGTCGTTGGGTCCCCAGGGCCTGCATGTTTAGTGTGAGAAGTCGCCTGTGACTTATTCGAATGCACTGTGAATGGTCCCACAACCTCCTGAGACTTGTGGCATGTCCCAAAAGGTTGCAGGCAGGGAAGAGGGGTGCCTAATTTCCAGTGGAACTGCCTAGACAATCTGGAATACAGAGTGGTTGATTACCAAAATTAGGTACCTGATCCCCTCCTTCAAACAAAAATGGCCAAAAGTGTTGAGGGGGGGGGGGGCATATAGTAGATTTCCCCTTTGGGGTAAAGTTTTTTTGTTTTTTTTAGGCTTAGGTTTTATAAAATGTATTTTTTTTTATTTGGGGTAAGCAATGTATTTGAGAGGGAAATTGATCCCAACTTAATTGGTTAATATCTGGTCAAGATATTTGATATTCATACAGCTGGTAATGGGTAAGAGGAATATAGAAGGTGATCGAAGAATTATTTTGTTTTTATATGCTAACAATTTTACATAGTTATGCTGCACAGTGACTAGTTAGACAACATGCAATAATACTATAGCCCTGGCTATACTTTTTCTACCAACTGGCTTAATTGGCAATACAGTTAGCAGTTGTAGTTGTGGGTGCTGTAGTGCAACACATGGAATTGGCTGCAGGATGCTCTACAGGTCCAGAGCCACGGTCTGCCAGGTACAGAGCCAAGATGACTGTGTGGATAAATTAAAAAAAGCCATAAAGGATAATCCAATGGCATTTTAAAAAAATATTAAAAATGAAGGAACACGATTATCATTTGAAAGCTACAAAGAATATAACAAAATATGTAAAAATAAAATCAAGTTTTCTGTATTAATAGTAAAAAGGTCAGGTCCGAGCATGTCGGCCCATTACAAGATAATTCAGAGTTGGTGACTGGGGACAAAGAGAAGACAAGTTGGTTGAATACCTTTTGTCAGCTGTGTGTATAGAAAGGAAATTGGGGGATGTTCAAGTCCATAATGGTGACAGTAATGCTATAGCACCAAAAGAGCCAGAATGGCTCAAAACTAATATTGTTCAGAAATTTTTTTTTGCTATTCAGCACTGTGCTACTTTGACAATTGCTCAGTCATGCAACACTGTACCCAAATGAGATTTTTATAATTTTTTTTCTAAAAAAAATAGAGCTTTCTTTTGGTGGTAGTTGATCACCACTGGGTTATTTATTATTTGCTATATAAATTAAAAAATACTGAAAATTTGAAAAAAAAAAATGTTTTTTCTTTGTTTCTGTTATAAAACTTTTCTCATTAATTTAAGCCAAAATGTAGTCTGCAGACTATTTAGCCTGTGTAAACATTATAGAGTCTACAAACTATGGTATACAGTATATATTTGAGAATTGATCAGTCCTGATGTAATAACTGCCTATTTCATTTCTTGAGGCCCTAAATTATCAGATCAGTACAAATACCCCCTATACGATCCCTTTTTAGAAATTCTACAGTCCAAGGTATTTAGTAAGAGACATGGTTGAGTTTTTTGAAGTTGTAATTTTTTGTAACAATTTTTTTGGAAATAAAGTAAATAAAATAAGATACTGACTGGTGAAAGTATATAAAAAAAAATATAAATATATATATGTTTTAATAAAATTTTTTTATATATTTTTTTTACAATTTTATTTACATACTGTCATCCGAGAAGTTCAGTGACACCGTAATACTCTGGGGGATGATCACTTATAACAGCGATGATCACTGTTATAACCAATAGTTTTAACTGTCATGAATGGCTTTCATTCATGACAGCTTGCTTACTATTGTGACGCTGTGATTGGCTACAGCTAATCACATGGTACAGGATGCCAGGTACCTTGTGATAGCTGTGGGCCAAGCACAGCATCATAATAGTAAGAAAGCTGTCATGAATGGAAACCATTCATGACCGTTTTGCTTACATTGTATTCATGTAATCGCTATGATTGATCATAGTGATCACTTGATACCTCGGCCACTGTGATCACACCGCTGCATGCCCCAGGGGGGCACGCCTAGTTTGTAGCAGCTGCCCACAGTAAATGTATTGTAATGTATTGTACTGTGAGTGGGTGAATAAAACACCTGATCCAAATGGCTTTCATCTTAAGAGCGGAGTGTGCAATGCACAGTTGTGGCACACTAGGGTTCAAGAGGTTAAAGCAGCCGGTGAGGAGGCAATACAACACCTCCTCACCGCCTGTCAAATGCCTTCTAAAGAGCAATCCGAATACAGATTGCTTTTTAAAGACCAAACCTGTGTAAACAAGCCTTTAGTGTTTACATTGATCACAAGTGCATGTTATTTATTTATGCTTTTTTTTTTTTCTTCTATCTAATTCGCTGATTATGCTGATTTCCCATGAGCTGTAGATCACAACAATTTTTAAGAGGTCCCCCGAGAGCTGAAAATTGGATCAAGCGTTCCTCAGGTATTGAAAGGTTGAGAGAGGCTGGATTATTACAACAACTAAACTCAGCTTTTATTATGCCTGATGTGCATACATGACAAAGATTTCATCCTTACATTGGGGACTGTGTCTCTTTAAAGCTTGGCTAATTTTCATCGTGAGGCAGGCTGTTCGTTTTATCTTCACGTTTTCTATCTTTTAGCTCTGACATTAGCTTGTGTAACTTGGACACTTAGCAGCTTAGATTTAATTGTATGTGCACATTCTGGGCTGGTAACCATGGTTACATCTTTTTATCCAGTGTATTCCTAATATTTGTTTGTGAATTGATAGTAACTCTGCATTAACACTTAAAATGTGCTTTCACTGTTAGTAATGTGAAAACAATGTTTTAGGACAACAGTATTCCTTACATAAACACATTGGCGGTAGGTGAAGCCCTCATTTATGTTTTTGGCCAAAGCAACACCTTATATAGTGGTAACATTTCTTTTCCTCCAGGATTCTGTGCTTCTCTTTGTATTATAGTACAATTTTCAGATAGCATACAATCAAACTAACCACATTGAATGCTAATTATTTTCTTCAAAAATTTATTTTTTTATTGCTCTTACGTGATACTTTAACAACTGCAAATCTTGGCAAGGAAAATTCATGGGTTTGGGGAGTAGTCCTATTCTGTAAAATGCACCAATAAATTGTCAATTTAGTACATTTTATAAGTCAACCATATTCAAAAGGAAGGAAAGAGGAGATATAAATGTAAGCACTGTGTTGGTCACACAGCCACAAACCCACACATATCTCATTAAACCTGCAGCAATTCTGATCATTTTTAGTCAAAGCTGAACTCCAGATAGATAGATACACATTATATTGCCAAAAGTATTGGGACACCCCTCCAAATCATTGGATTCAGGTGTTCCAATCACCTCCATGGCCACAGGTGTATAAAATCAAGCACGCAGACTGCTTCTACAAACAATTGTGAAAGAATAGGTCACTCTCAGGAGCTCAGTGAATTCAAGCGTGGTACCATGATAGGTTCCCACCTGTGCAATAAGTCCATCCATGAAATTTCCTTGCTACTAAATATTCCACGGTCAACTGTTAGTGGTATTATAACAAAGAGGAAGCAACTGGGAACAACAGCAACTCAGCCATAAAGTAATAGGTCAAGTAAAATGATAGAGCGGGGTCAGCGCATGCTGAAGCACACAATGCACAGAAGTCGCCAACTGTCTGCAGAGTCAATAGTTAAAGATTTCCAAGCTTCATGTGGCCTTCAGATTATGATTGATAATGATTTGTGCAGTTTACTATCCTTGAAACCCTCTTTCAAGGATAACCATTGACTCTTTTTTGTATCTCATATCCTAGAACTCAATGCTTAGGTTCTGCAAGCAAATTATAAATTATAAGACTACTGTTTGATGGTGAGAATACCTTAGAAAATACATGCCGTGTTTCTGAAACTGAAACTGTTTTTTTTTTTTCTTTTGAACAAAGTAGGGAAGTTTTAGCAACCCTGTCAGTTTTTTTTTTTTGCTTGCTGTATCCCCATTAGACAGTTTAGCCCTCACTATTTATCCTGGTGGCCATTGTTACAGGCACTTAAAATAAGGAGAAATTGAATCTGTTGAGTTCCCAGCAAAACAAATTAACAAAGTGAACATCTTTCCGTGGAGACATTTATTGCAGTGACAGTTCTCTACGAGAACATTTTTATCACTCAGGAATGTTTATTTCTCACTTCTGCTTGTAGCAAGGTGTAGGGACCCCATTGTGATTCCTTGGGAGAATTCTGCTGTAGTGATTCCAGGTGTCAATAAATGTCCCCATATGTCCACAATTTATCTATTTAAAAACATTTCTAAGGGGATGCAAACATAGGACTAACATATTCTCTGCTGTGGACTGTTTGCTGTTAGATAATGAGTTTATGTGAAATCTTCATTAATGGATGTAAATAATGTTATAATTACAAGTATATTTTAGTTAGCTGGAAATATACATTATTTAAACCATTGAGTGTTTTGCAGCATTAAAACTTTCTAGCTTCCATACTGGTGTAAATATATATGGAGTTTTCCACTATACAAGTTCTGGCCTTTTGTTGTCCCCTTAGCATATCTCACATGAGTGGTAAACAGCAGCCTTCTTTGAACTTCCAATCTGTGCCCAATATACATTGGCTAGGTACAGTGTCCAATTAGTGAGCATTATATTAGCCTCAGTACAGACAGGAGGGGGGGGGGGGATATAAGGCCTTGTCACCCAGCTGGGGGTCTCTTTGTGATGAGACACATACAGCAGGCAGGATGACTAGACCTAAAGTTGAGAGGTAAACTAACTTCATACTTGTATATTGTATTTTAAACATGGTTTTGTGGGTAAATTGTAAATATCGTATAAGTCAAGAGACTCAAAGTGTACATTGTGTTGTAAATACTGCTTAGCGTGTAATTTGTATATATTATGTAACGCTATCAATAAATGTATATTGCAGATGGAACTACCTCTTTTGTGAAGGAACTCTCAGATCTAGCTGGATATGTAAATACGCCTACAAGGATTGGGGTGTATTCACAAATACATGTAACCTAGTCAACATTGCTAACAAGTTATGTTAAAGTAAAGGCGCTAAAGCACAAGATCGACCTAACTGCAATGAGCTGGGATGAAGAATGAAAGTGAGTGGGGAGTAGGCTCTAGTTTGGAACGGGGTAGTTTCACTGCCAAAGGTTTGTCACAGCTGTGCCATGGCACATTGTTTGCCAATACTTCCTGTTTGAGGTCTTGCCTCAACATACAGCTCCTTGAGCCATATGTGTAATTTGGGATCAGGTAAGTGCCTGGCAGGAGGTTTCTGTTTGTACATAAAAAATTCACAGGCCTGTCTGCCTCAGGCTCTGGGTTTGAGAGTTGATGTGATGTTTTCCCCAAAACACCTATAGTAGAGCTGTCCCAAGGAGACCCGAAAGCATGGGCAATACTCTGTATAGTGACTTTCAAAGAAGTCTGAAGTTTGACTAGAGCCACTATATGAAAATGGACAGGGCCTTTTGCTGACAAGTGCTGAACTGTTTGTCAGATGTGAGCTCCATGAGTTGAGAAACAGGATCCGAATTCTAGTCATGTTAATATATTTGACATCCAAACAGTGAAACCGTTTGTACAGTAATAAAATTATCAATAATGGAAGCTGCACCCATAAGACCCTGATATAAAATTCATAAAAAAATCTAAATAATACATGTTGCACTTCCATGAAATATCTACCACCACAGGCCATGCCTATAATGTCCCAAAATGCATATATAATTCCAAGATCTTTTAATCCATTGTACTGTGCTTCAACATAAGAAATTAGACTACTCTGTGATTCAGTCTCCAGCACTGACAGCACAAAACGCTAACTAGATAGGTGGATCTTGGCATTAAAGAAGTCAAATCGCTGTCTGTGACTAAAACTCAGAGGAAGTTGGTGGGGTTTGTGTTTTTGGCAGCCCAGCAGACCCTGGACAGAGCCTGGCAACAACCATTGCTTAATTTCTCTGAAGTTAAAACAGTGGCTCCTGGGATCCATGGTCCACAAGAAGCTCACATCCATACTTACTGACAGCCACACCAAATTTCTGAAGATTTGGGATCCCTGTGTGCCAGACCCAAACGTGACAAGGGCTTTTGGAGGGGACTGCAGGCTAGCCTCTTGCCTACTGATCATGGCCCTGGCATCTGACTGGGCTCTATTATTTGGTGTGTGTCTGGGGTGACCTTTAGAGCAGTTTACTTTGGATTCAAGTCCAAAACACAAAGACTCTGAGAAATGGCGGACCAGGATACAGATTTTGGGTCTCTGTGCCCAAACCAGCATTGACTGCTTCAACCCCCCCCCCCCCCTTCCTAGTCTCAGATATTCTAAGAAGATGTATATATAATTAGCTGAAAACAAACCTGATGTGAGGACTCTTGATGTAATCTGTTTATTAAGGGATTATGTATTTACTGTCTTTCTCCCATTGTGCGCCATCTAGGTGTGCATTCCATTGTTAATTTAGTTAATTGAGGCACCAATTGTTTGTCTGTTGGCAAGTCCTCTTGGAGCTTCCTGCATGATGAGATTACTCTGATGTCAGCTTCACCTCGTTATCTAATCAGTGTGGGATGTTTTTCCTAATGTATAATATTTGTGGTTATTGTTCATGTGGGGACTGTCCTATTTGTGAAGTGTATAAAAACCTGTGATTTCTGTTCAATAAAGTAGTTCCAGTTTGGCATCTACGCTAGTCTCATCTAGTCTTGGGTGCAATGCCCAGCTATATTACCTTAGTCCTGTGTCCCAGTGGCAAGGAAGCGGTTCTCTGATAGTCACCCAATCGGGGTGACAGGCGTTTCGTCACACCCTGGATAGCCTATGATGGCCACTTAAATTTAGACCGTTCTTTACTCTCTATTTGACTGTTTAAATGAACATCCTTTGTATTTTGTAACTTGGCCCACACGGGATTCTCCTCCTGTCCCTTTTTCTTCCCAGGCAATTTTTCTTCCTGACGTAAATCTTGAGCGACTTTTCTGCATGCTTTACTCTTCTCTTCACCGTTCACGCCTGTCTTGGATTCTAGAGTGCCCTATTCCTTCTACTGCCCCTGTGGGGGCGTGCCCCCTTATATGGTAGTGTTACTGATGGAGCTTCTCCCAGTCTGCCCATTTTAGTTGAATACGTATAGTTTCCTGTGCCTAACGGTTTGTGATGTCATTTGCAGTGTCACCGTCGCTGTAATTGGTAAGTCCTATTTAGATTATTTTTATTTGCCTCTCTACCCATACCGTTGTTGCATTCTTTTCTTTATGTGAATGCCTTTCATACCTTGTATTAAAGGTCAAATGGAATTATCCCTACTAGTGGAGTAGCGTGGATTGTCAGCGCCGGGTCAAGGCAGGCAATTGGATTTTAGCACTCCTTGAATCCCTTCCACTAGGGTCATGATGTGGGGAAGGTGAAGTGGTCAGAGGGAGAGGGGTCAATGCCTAGGTTTCTCACATTCCAGGGTCAACTCTTTCCCCATCTTCTTCAGCACCTGCACCGCCTGTTTATGGGTGGCCATCTGGAGGGGGGGTGAGGTTTGGGGGGATAGGTGAGGTTGATGTAGGTTGGGGGGTGGGAGGGTAGAGGTAGGTGGGTGGGGTAGGTATCTAGGTCATCTTCCAGGTTCACCTCCTTCCCTACATTCTTCGGTACCTTCACCATCTGGTCATGGGTGACTGTTGGGAGGGGAGAGGTAGGCGGTAGAGGGAAATAGACAGGTAGCTGGGTGGATGAAGGGGTGTTAGGAGTAGTAAGGTGGGTGGGGTTAGAGGGGTAAGTAGGCAGGTTGGGGGGTAGAGGGAGGTGTGTGGGTGGGGAGGAGGTAGATAGGTGGGGGGTGGTAGAGTGAGGTAGGTAGATAGGAAGGGTCAGTGCCTAGGTTCCTCACCTTCCAGGGACACCTCCTCCCCTGTCTTCTTCAGGACCTGCACCGCTTGGTCATATGTGGCGCTGCTTAGGAGTCCAGGAGCCCGGAGTGGGAAGCCCAAGTCCACACCACCATGGTGTCACTGAGAGCCACATGGGAAAATTTCTGCTAGGGTCTCCTGCTCTGCCTCTGTCAACTCCGCTCCTCCCCCTGACCTGCCCCTCCTACTTCCCCACAGCCCCATATCTACCCTAATCTGTCCTTCACAGGACAAATTTATGTGCCCCTCCAAATGTTGCACCTGGGGCAACTGTACCTCTATTCAGAATAGCTGAAAGTGTCTGTCACAATCCCAATCACATTTAATAGCTTAGTTTTCTTTCAATATGTTTGAAGAAAAGAAAAAGCTTAAAATGGTGTATATAATTTAAGGGATTTATTTAAAAACACCAAACTTCAAGCCCTTGACATTGTCTGCTTGTGAAGAAATGCCTAGGCTGGAGGTTAGGACACTCAAGTCATCATGTTTTTTTACGGTGTGAACTTGTGGTGGCTTTTTCTGTGTATGTTTAGGGCTATTTTGTATGGTGTTTTTAATCCCTTGGAATGACCCTCTGTACAGGTTTAGGTGACATATAAACAGGTTTTCAGTTTTCTCTCTGCAGTTAGAGGATATGGGGCCAGAATGTTTACAATGATGAATACTTGGCCAGGCTAATACTGTATGGATGTTCATGACGCTTCCAGACAAACATTGGGGTTGATTTACTAAACCTGGAGAGTGAAAAATCTGGTGCTGCT